TTACATTATAGGTACATTATTATTTACATTATAGATTACATTATATTATAGGTATTAACTAACAATGTATTGTAATTATATATTATAACCTTATATTGTTTGGAAAATGTACAATTTTGACCATGAAATTGTAATTATTGTATAATTACTAATAAGCCATATTATTATGATACCGCTCAATTTATAATGTGTGCATTGTGCGCTTACGATCGGCGGATATTACAAGTTAAGCCATTTATGATTATTCGGCGACGGCCTGAAGTAGTTACTAATATACCTAGTCATAGTTCTTTTTAGGCATGATTTTTCGTCATATATAGTTCTACAAATTAAAACTTACATTAAATATTGTGAGTGCATATTATGATACTAATAAACATGTTTTCAATTTAACAATTTGGTAATTATATATAGGTACGACTCACTTTTTACACATTTAGGCGTTGTATATGAATATACATGTCCATGAAGTTAACCGTCCTACATCGGCTGCCCAAACTCAATATTTTGTAAGTATTTGTAGAAATAAAAACAATTTCATAGGTAAATTTCATAAGAATTTAGAGGTCAACTTCTCTTAGATGATTCCTAAAAGTTGAGCCGGCTACTTTATTTTTTTTTAAATTTTTATTTAAAAACCGTAATTTTGCTTTTTATTATCCAAATTTGTCAACATAATTTGAGCTATTTTTTTTTAAATTCTAGTAACAATTACTTATGTCGCTAAACTTCAGTTAAAGTATAGATTCAAATTTCTATTTTCTTTTAAATCGATGACGGTGACGTTGAGTTGATTTATTTTAATTATATGAATAGGTACCTATATTGTAAATTACATGTTACCTAAGTAATAATACAGTCGATTCCGCTTAATAGAGACACCGGTTAATAAGGACAACCGCTTAATAGGGACAATTCTTCAATTACAAAAACAAATGTATACTTGTAGGGTAAACATTCGCCGCTTATTTGGGCCACGAATCCGGATAATTGGGACATTTTTATCGAGTATATTAATAATTCAATAGTTCAACAATCGTGACGGACTCTCGTAATCGATCATTACATTACATTTTATCTTATTTAACTTTATTTTATCTTATCTTTTATCGTATGTTCAAATGTGATAGTTGTTAAATGTTATTTGGTGCAATGGTGCATCAGTCGTGTTTGTCGCGTGTAGCAACGATGGCTCGTGTACGTAAAGATTTATCGTTTGCTCAAAAATTAGAAATTCTGGACAAAATTAAATTACAGCTACCAGGCTGTAATACACGTCGTCTTTCGGAAATTTTAGGAGTACCGAAATCAACAGTTTTTTTAAATAAGATAAAATACATAATAAAAAAATAAAAAATATGTAATATGTACCTACTTTATATGTAAGTATTTTTATAAATAATTAGGTTATATCATGTTTTTCTTTTTGTACTATCAAATAATTTCTATAATACATTGTTTGTAATTTGTAATAATAAAAATATATAAAACAAATCAGTTTTTCAACAAATTTATATGTTGGTTTTTGTATTTCGGATTATTGGGACAACCGCTTTATTGGGACAAAATAACACCCAACCGATGTGTCCCAATAAAGCGGAATCGACTGTATTTGAACAACTCAGAACTAAGCATGAATAAAGTTACTATTAAGACATAACAAATGACTTAATATTATATAGAATATAGAATAGAAGATTCATAGGTTGTTTTTTTTATTAGAAAAACAAGAATGTTCAGGAGGTCCCTGGACCAGTTCTGCTTAACATGGCGTTGTGGGTTATCAGGGAGTGTAAGGAAGGAGAGGTTAGAAATTAGTTGATTTGAATGGTTGACTGTGTTTTTGTGAAAGGCTTATAATAGCGGGAGACTAATGAATGAATGGTTGGAATTTTGTGGTCAGAGTAAAGGGATAAACCCTTTACCTAGGGATTTTGTAATGATTCATTGCAATGATTGCAATATTTCAATAATGGATGTTTTGACCGTGTTCCATAGCTGAACTACGTAGGTCATTGATGAGCGGATAATTTGTTAATAATTTAAGAGTTTGATATTGAGTGGAACATTTGATTTGATGAGATGTCTAAGTTCGTAAAGTTTAATATTGTGGGATTTTCTCTTTGATCTTATATGAGTGGCCCATGTAAGTTTTTTGTCTGGACTCCTAGGTATCAAGTAATTTTTTTTTTGGGGGGGAACACAAAACGTTATTAAGAATCATGGGCAGGGAGGGGGGCAGAGACCTGGGCGTAGGGAGAAAGTTGTGTGCGTTGATTTGTTCGGATTTATTTTAACTCTCCACAGGTTGAACCAGATTTGGAGTACATTAAGGTGTGTTTGGAGAGCGTCAGAGGAACTAGTTAGGTCGACTTAAATAATGGATGTATACCTGTATCGTCAGCGAAGGTAACAAGAGTGGTGTTTTCAGAGAGTGGAATGTCAGGTGTACATATGTTAAAAAGTTTTGGAGCTTATATACTATACCCTGAGGAACTATTTACCTATATTAATATGGCTAGGTATATCCTAAAGGCAGGGATTGTCGATATTTTAATTAAATATATTAAAACTAAAAAATAATTAGAAACCGAGAGTAAAATGTTCATGTTTGAATGTTGTTAAGTAGGTACCTTTCAAAACAATAACAATCTTAACGATATTAAATTTTTTTCCGATACGTTTCTACTTCCTATGGTAACAAATGTAGGTAATACGTAAAGTGTCTTAATCCATAAAGTATTATCTTATCCGTGCCGTCATAAAACTAAATTGTCATGGGCAGCCATCAGCTGTCTATTCTCTCGATTATATTTACAGTTTATAATATAATGAGTGATACCTACAGTATTTTATAAAACTTATATTTTTAAAAGGGAACAATGTTTTCCAAGATACATGATTGATATAGTGATTTTAATAAATACATTTTTTTACAAACCATACAAATGTTCTGATCAAATAAAAGTGTTTATATTTTTCTCATTAATGTTATTTGTGTTTTGCATTTCAGTACCTATGTACATTTAGATGTATTTTGTTTTTTTATATAATTATATTTGAAATACACGAGTTAATGTATTATGCCTATTTTTAATTAGGTATATGTATATATACAAAAAAATCCGCCTAGCGGATAACTCACAATTTCTGCCGAATGACAAATAAAAACGATAGTTTATTTTAAGATTAAACTTTTAATTTACTACAAGACATGTGGTGCCTATTATAGGTATATATTATATAATATGGCCACCATGTTTGTTAAAAAAAAATAAAAATATTATACAAGGTGACTCGCCAAGCATACTCACCGGGTGATATTGATCTAGGTATATTTAAAAATACCGGAATACCATGTGAAAAAAGTCTGCTCACGCCTATTCCCCGAATAGCTAGCATGACCTACAATACGCTTTTGAATTATAATTGAATAACACAGCCATGAACGTCCGATTTTTGAACCAGATTCGGACACTGTAAAATATTATTATTCTGAAAAGGATCTACCTATGGATCTACCATCTACATTTTTAGCAAAAGGATGGCCTAACCTAACAGTTCCACCATTATTATAATACCGTCTACGTAGACGAGCCAACACTGTTACAGATAGTATAGTCCATAAAATATAAGTTAGTCATTATTAAAAATAGTAAATTAATTTTACTTGAAAACAATTTAATTTTTTTAAAGATCCTTGTATATTTAATTTTGTAATATAATGGTTATCTGTTTTTGGATTTGTGAAATTTTTTAAGGTCTCTCTGAAGTCATGCCTCCCTATTGGTACGCTACTGTCTCACCCCCATTTTTTCCATTAATAATGAATCTAGTCATAATGTTATCTTAATAATTTTTAAATACACGTAATGTCCATATTTAAATTATAAACATTTTTTTGTACTAGGTACTTAATGAGTATCTGTGGTGATACACATTTTTGTTATTTAAATGAGAACCCCCCCCCTCATTTTACTATAAATTATTTAGTGAATATTTGTTTGTACATTTTTATTTACCTAATCCAAAATTTGAACGAGTGGTATTAGTGGTAAGTAGTTTCTCAATAGTAAAATTATTATATTAAGGATAATAGTCCCTCAAAATGTTTTACAAAAATATAAAATATATGTAATATTGGATCTAGTATTTATTATACTTGAACCATTTTTAAAAATTATTGTTGCTAGATTAATATTGATTAGGTACTAACATTTTCAAATCACCATAGCCTCTAATCTTTCATTCCCTCAACTATTAAATTATCCTTAGTACACGAAATTATGGGGGTGAGCACGCGTTTGGTGAATCATTCTGTATATGTGTATGGCTAAAATGTATTAAATTAACTTACAGATTCATCGACACTGATGACAGCAGAGTATTCTCAGTTAGGTATACAATTACATAAAATGTATTTAATGTCTTATGTAGTACCTACGTACTACGTTATGTATTGTACCTATATAACAATATAATAATATATTTGTATAATCGCTCGTATTTTTAAAATTTGTCACAAAATAAATAAATCCAAGTACACAGTTAAAACTTCTGATATGTTAGATAATTTATCTCCTGTGCCCGCATTATACCTAATATTGTCAATGTTCTTATTCGTATTTTTTTTTTCAATGGATTCAATTACAAAATTATTTTCAAACACGATGCATTAAATGTATTGCATGACATGCAAATATAAGTAGTATAATATTAGTTGCACAAATATAGTTAACACCTAATGATTTACATGGTAAATTAAAATTGACCAATACAAATTCATTTAAAGGTTTGTTTGTAAATAATCATTACTTTCAAGCCTGAAGTCTCCATGATCTCTATTAAACCATGTTCAAAATTCTAAAACTCTATATTATGTTAGAAAAAAGGTAAGATCATAATAAACCTAATGATATGTTACCATACTAAATAAATTATTAAATAGGAACTTATTATAAATAAATAAACAGTATAATTTACTACTTTGACCAATATATTTATTTGAAAAAATTAAGTGATCCATAATGTGAAGGTCCTAAATGATCGTATCCGTAATTTCCTCCATAATTCAATAAATCTAGATCGATACTGTGGTACAACTTGGAAATTCCGTATTTTGGTTTTCTATACCAGTGTCCGTACTTTCCAATGTAACCGAGTCCGTATTCAATGCCCGGAAAATCCAAATCTATGTCTAAATCCAAGTCTGTATCAATATAGAAATCTATATCAGTATCTAGGTCATCATCCAAATCAAAGTCTAGATCAAAATCGATTGATGGAATGAATAGAGGTGTGTATGAATGATATCCAGAAGCGTATTCAGGTAAGAACAATGGTGATCCGCCATCGGAGTGACTGTAACTGTAACTATAACCTGGGCCGTGGGCTGACTGGCTGACGTAACTATATGAATGACCACCAGTACCTACAATATTAAAACAAAAATTATCAGAATATATTATATTCAATATTAAATTAACAAATAATAACTTAACGATTAAGTTATAATTGGTAGGGTACCGAATAACTATAAGCAACTATAGGTAAGCAAATAATACTACTTCACAGACATTTTGAGTACAACCAATTCAAATTAAATTCTAAATGTTCATATAAATGTTAATATTATATAATTATTCATAATATAATTAGCATTTTTTCACTAGGTATGTACTTTTTAAAATGTCTACAAACTTTAGTCACAGTTGCATACATTTTTATCAACAAAAATAATAAATTGACAATTTAAAAACTAAAATTATTACTTATTTGATAACACCAAAGTCAATCATGTGAGTATTTTTGTATCATAATGTGTATAATAAATCTAAAACGGAACGTCGGTCATTAGAATATTGTGTTTTTAGGGTTATCTTATTTGGTTTTATTTTTTTTTGCTTTATGCTATAAAGAAGTTTTACCGAGCATTAAGGGTGTTTATGGAAATTTAATGAATATTCGTCGGGCAAAACTTAAGTGGATTATAATCAGTCATGCAAGAATAATATTAATTCTTTAGTATAGGTGGAGGGGGTGGGGGGCGTTAATTGAAATCAAAGCGCTCTACAAAAGCCGATAAGGCGGAAACGCGTTCGTCAACGATAAAACTCGTTCGAAGAAACACTTCAATACGTAGGAAAGTGTCAATATTATACTTTACTGGACTTAAAAAATAGTTGAAATGGAAAATGGAATCGTCCAAAACTCACGTGACGAACTGCTGCTGTAACTAGATTCCGATTTATGGTTGGACTGATGGTTGGACTGCTGGTTGGTGGAGTGGACGAACGCGGTTGACGCGCCGGCTCCGACGATCAGAAGAGCTGCGATCCGCTGGAACATCATTGCGGTGACTCGAGTGACTTGATTGAAATCCTCCGGATTGACGGATATTTATCCGACACCGAGACCGGAAGTGCCCTCGACACAGGCTCGGTGAAAACGCGCCCAAGGTCGGCTTAGTGTACCTGCAGTGTGTATTTGTTACTGTAGCCGTACTGTCCCAATGCCGTTCGATGCTTCCGAAACGGTTCGTTGGCCAATTCGATTGATCGTTCGCGTTCATCCGAGTAAGGTTTTCAAGACCCAAATGTACCTATACTATAATATTTATGTACAGCATATTTTTATCGTCATTGTCGTTATCTTTGCAATTTCGACTTAAACCGGAACACGTTTTCCGGATTGTTTTTGATTCACGATTAATTTTCTTTGTTACCTATTTATACGCAAGTAGTGGCGCCGACCAGATGACTCCAAAACACAAAACAATATCATAATATGCCACACAGACCCGAGTCAAGTTTATGATCGTCATTTACATATAGAGATTCCATATGTACGTATTATTTTATATTATTTAAGTCTAGAGGGTTTATACATGATTATACTTTATATTATACAATATTGGAAAGTTTCATTGTTATACTTTTTTATACTCAGTTGAAAAAAATGCGTCAATAACCACTGCGACAGATATGTTTATTATTTTAATATTTTTCTAAACTGTCTTATCCTGTCACTTTTGGTTTCTACATTTCTGTACAGTATAATATTATTCTTTTATAGCACCTGGCGTAAAATTACTCTCGTGAGATTGAATTTGTTGTTATTTGTTCGTTCAACCGTAAGACCGTTCGCCGCATTGCCGAAATTTAATAAAATATATCCTTCATAGTGTATCCAAGAATAGTAAAGATTACTTTACATTTACTTTTCGGATTTCCTAATTCGGGGTTTATCAGTATATTTAATATTATGATTGTTTCTTTCTCATAAATAATATTTGTATGTCAAATTATTGTGAAATGTGAATTTATTCAATACATATATGTATACGATAAATAATAACTATAATATTATTATAGTATCGTGTATTTTTTATTTTTTTTTAATAAAATTTATACGTCGTCTTTATATATTTTTCTGTATAAATAAAGAAAAAAAAGTCACCTTAAAAATATCATAAAAATGATATGATATTTTTATGTAATTTTAATCGAGCAGTTCATGGATTCTTCACAATAAAATACATAGTGCTAAGAGAAGTGAAATTTATAAATTTGAAGCTGAACCAATATTATATCTTTATACAATATCAAAACTATAACTTTAAATAGTTATTGTGAATTGTCCTATAAATAATTAATACTTAATATTACTAATATTAGTGATTTGATATATCACATATTATTATGTTTAAAACATAATTACCAATTTTAGTGTGTAAATTAAATTACTATTTTAGATTCTGAGCGGAGCGAGGGCCGGGGAAGCTAGTGGTTTTACAATTGTGTTTATTATTTATTTATTTTTTTTTTGTTTTTATATCCTGTGTACAAAATTTCTACCAGAAGAAGTTCTTTGATTTCAACATAAAGTACCTTATCTTTTAGCAAATTGGATCAGGATGGTACATTAGACAGGGCATTTCTCGATTTTATCAATAGTTATTTAATGCCACGGTAAAAACTACCGAAAAATTACTAAAAACTGCTAAAAATTGGATTTTAATTTCTAACGCTTTGTTTATTACCATAGAAACGAATAAAAAATAGTAATATTATAACATTAATTCAACTTACATGATATAATAACTAATAACAATATAAAATGTCCAGACGGACAAACCGTCTCCGCTCAGAATCGTTTTTCTTATATAATGATATTATATCATTGAAATCAAGTTTAATACAATCCATTATACAAAGAACCAATTGTAACTTACTGTACAGCAGAGTGACATTCACTTACTAGCTTTTTTTTTACTTATCTCAGTCAATTTGTCATGTATGAAAAGCATATATTATTACGTAATATGTTAAAACGGTTGATAATAATCTCAATCATACATTACAGCTGAAACAAAAGTTGGTACAATTTCGACCTATCATTATATTATTATATCCCATTTTTTGGAAAAGAATTATTTTGCTCTCTTATATAGGCATGAAAAATTAGTTAATAATATGTGTAAGAAAATAATAATCACAATTTTATATTTTATTTAATAAATATTTCAAAATAGTTGAAACATATCTATTTAACTACTTCACTCATCTTTTTTTTTATTACCAACTGTAATATGTTTATTGTACATTTGTACCTACATTGATTAAATTGCAGTAAAATTTTACTTATTTTTAGATTACAGGTGTATCCTATATTATAGTAGGTATATCGTATATATTATATTATGTACATATATATTTATTACCGTATAGGTAATATTATAATAATTTATGGTTTAAGTTTATTTCTCATGCAATATACGAGATTACCATTACATTTATAAAATGTATAAAAGATGGTAAATTTATTTGATTAATAGACATGACATATATTTGAATAACTAATAAGTTATAAGTGTAAAAATTGTATATACTTAGAAAAGTGTAAAAAATGATGTTTTATTCAAATATATTTTAAATCTAAAAATGATAATACGAGCTGATATAATGTACATTATACAACAAAATTTAAATATTCAAATCCAGAAACACTTGGCTCAATTGGTGGTGATTAAATACCGTGTTAGATTATTTTAAAAATTGTTCTTGCGTATAATAAAATAATACGTTTTCAAACATTTCTGGAGAAATTAAATCAGTTATATTAAATTCTGATCAGAGCGATTAAGGTATGGGTTTTAAAATAACGAGTTCTTTTTCAATTTTATTTTTATTTTTCTTCAACATTCTTTTGCACGTTTTAGTATTTTACCCACACGACTACACATGGCCGAATAAAATAACAAACGTATTGTGAAGAAAATAAAGCTTATAAAGTTGTAATAATAAGAATACATATTATACTTAATATATTAATACCTACATTAACATTTACTATAATAATATTATGTCTATACTTAATAACATTCCATTGTATAAACGTTAAATAAAAGTTTTAGAATATTTTTTCCACTGTTTTTTTTTTTTTTTTTTAATTGGATAACCCTCGGCTGCAATAGTCCATTGGGTGTGGGGAAGAAACTGTGGGGTTTTAGGTTGGGTAGATTGGTACACGTGTGTGTTGTGTTTTGGCAGAATTTCTAATAGGGCACCCGTAGGTTTCTGTCATGCCCCAGGTGGGGGATGGAGGCACTTGTTCTCCGGACACCGTGACTTGCCCGAAGAAAAATGCCACCCGCGGCCGAGGTATCGAACCAGCTTTGGCTGCGTAGTAGCCGACGCCTTAGTCCTCTCGGTAACTCCGTCCCCTTTTTCCACTGTTTATATTCCTACTTATTGTAATACTTCACTATATATTTACTATTAATACTGTATATTTATGTACTTATAGTGTAATTAAGAGCTCCGGGACCCCACACAAACCCTCTAAATATAAAAAAAAAAATTTAAATGTTAAGTCTTAAAAATAGTTAGACAAAGAAAAATTTTAACTTAAAAGTATAAGACTTATAAAAATAGTAACTTCAACATTAGATTAAACTTTTTTATCTATCATCAGTTCAAAACATAAGAATGAAAATCTTTCAATATTAAATTCTAACCGGAGCGATGACTAAATGGGTTTTACTAATGATGTGTGTATTTTTGTAGTTTTTTTTATATTTTTTAAAATTTGATAGTTATTTTACAGATATACAAACGTACATAGTTTTTAATTTTATTAACTAAAAATACTTATGTATTTTATATAAGATTCCTAATAAGTTGTTCTCACTAGAATTACTAACTAGAATTTAAAAAAAATTTAGTGTACTGTCGCATTCATTTTAACGAGCTATTGAAGTTCAAATTCTGATAACTTTTGTACATAATATTATAATAACGATATTTATTTAACCTACCGTATTACTTATTATAATATTATATAAATATTAAATTAAATTAAAAATATCCTTAGAGATACAGATTGACAGCCGACAGGCCGACCACGGACTTCACACATAATCGTTTAATTCAAATGTAGCATATACATTACAGTGATCTACTCAATGACGAGGTACACTCTACTCTAACTATTTAAAGCAGAATGATTTCCACGGTTTTTAAAATTATTATTGAAAGGATCATAAATCATAATATATTTGATCATTTTTGGCTTTTACATTTTTATAAATAATCTACATTTATTTAATTTTGGCGTCAATAATAGTTTGTAATATCCAATTTCTTTGTTACAAAAACAAACATTTTAGTATTTTATCGTAATGAAAAAGTTTCTGTTGCTATTATTATAATTTTATTTAAATAATTATAGGTATATATTACACACTATACGATTTGTATAATATATATTATTATAGTTATATATAAATAATACATAGGTAAATATAATGCATGCTAGGGGGCAGTGTTGGGAATTATCTAGAAAATCTTAATTAAATAAAAATGATTTCTTTAATTATCTCATCTAGATAAAAATAATTAAATCATCTAATTATCTCATCTAGATAAATATAATGGTTATCTGTTGTTATTTATCTAGATAAATAATATAATAATAAGAATATTTTTAAATAGGTACTGAAATAGTCAACAATTTACGAGAACCGAGTAGTGATTCCAAAGTCCAATATTATTATAGTTAAAAAAAGAAATGTTAACTGAAATATTGTCAGTTTTATTTTGTTATTTTATTTTTATTCAAGTTTTATTAAAAATTAAAACTGTATATAGGGGGAGGAGGTGGCCGAGGGGTCTAACGCGTCGACTGCGGCGCTGGCAGTCGCGGGTTCGGCTCTCGACCACTGGGCGGCATTTTTCTCCGGGCAAGTCACGGTGTCCGGAGTACAAATACCGCCATCCCCCACCCCGGGGCATGGCAGAAACCTACGGGTGCCCCAATAAAAATTCTGCCACCACAAACACACTCGTGTACCAACCTACCCAATCTAAAAACCTACAGTTCCCTCCACACACCCAATGGCCCATGTTGCCTCGGGTTATCCAATAAAAAAAAAAAAAACTGTATATTATTTTAGTTGATAAATTACATTAAGGATTTATTAATTAATAAATATTACCTAATTAGTAATTTCTAATAAATTACATTATTTACAATATAATTAAAAAACAAATTATCTATTTTTTTTATCTAGATAAATGTATTTGTCTTTTTATCCTTATCTAGATAACAAAAAATGATGTTATATTCTATCTTATCTAGATAAATTTTGAATGAATTATCTGTTATCTTATCCAGATGATTTTTTGTTTATATTTTCCCAACACTGCTAGGGGGGTGGAGTGGCCGAGCAGACTAAGGCGTCGGTTGAGACTAGCACCGACGCCGGTTCAAAACCTCGGCTGCGGGAGGCATTTTTCTTCGGGCAAGTCACGATGTCCGAAGAGAAGTGCCGCCATCCCCCACCCGGCTGCCATACCTACGGGTTCCCATTAAAAATCTGCCAAACCAACAAACACACGTATTTAAACCTACAGTACCCTCCCCCACAGTTAAAAACCACCCAATGACCTAAGTTGCCGCGGGTTGATTATAAAAAAAATAAAAAAATATATATATGCTACGTTTACAATCTTTAAACTTTTTCGTTTAACAAAAATGTTATGAAAAGTTAAAGCTTAACCAATTTAAATTTAAATTCGTTAATATAACCAAATGCACTTTAACATCCCACCTAATGTTAGTTGTAAAATACAATTAGAAAATTTAAATTATTGTGTTTTTTTGTGTTAGTACATCATTACGTACGTTATAATATCATTACTATAGGTACCTACTAATGTTCTATAGATACATAATAGTGTCTAGGTATCTGTATTATAAAATCATAAAGACTGAAATAATGTATTTAATAAAGTTATATAATTAATATAGTACCTATTAATTAACCATACATACCTTACTATTGTACCTGTGAATTTTTTTTTACATTCTGAACGAAATAGTTAAAGCTAATTTAGAATGGGCTATAATTTCTGATTATGATTTCTATTATTTATTTCCCATCAACAATTTTATAGGTAAGGAATAAGTTTTTAAAATTTTTTTTTTTTAAATGTCTTCGTAATAATATTTTATGGAAAAGTACGACAATATTCATTAAATATCGTTATAGAATACCTATTGTGAATTGAATTTTTTTTCATAGCGGAACCCAAATTAATGACGCGTGTAAAACATTCCGATCACACGAACGTGCGTACCATGGTAACCCTATATCCTAAACCAACACACAAAATATACACAATTCAGTCAAACCGCAAAATGTCTGTGGGTTAGCTAATAATAATAAATCACCACAAGTGTTAATGAGATTGGTGTTGTAAAGATTTGAAAACGTCTTTCACCCAGTTCTATAATTCTTATGAAATAAAATCAATTTCGAAGGGGTTTTAAATTCATGAATAATTATTTATTATTCTCAATATTCATGTACCTAATAAGACAAATTTGTCTCCACAACGATTATGAGCATATTTAATTATTTCATTTTAAAATAAATTCATTATGGAACTATAAATACTTACAGGAAAAATATGTATACCTATATTATATAGACTATAGCTAGACCATAGATTACAGATACAATATTATATGAGGCAAATAATATGAATGTTTTGTGTACCTACACTATGCCATATTATGCATATTATGTACATATATCAAACACATGTATAATATTACAAATTATATTAATCCTTTTATTATAAATTAACTGAAGTAACTGAGAGTGAATTTATAAAATAGAAAGAATCAATGAATGACTTGATTTAAACACTTACCGATTTGTTATGAAATAATAAATTATTTTCTATTTTCTAAGTATGAGCTGGGACCAGTCATCTAAATTCAAAAATGGCATAATGTATCTGTATGTATATTATTGATAATATACTCGTATATATGTAATTATGAATAGTGTTAACTAAAACTAAAAGAAGCCCCTAAAGTGCAAGTTTAAATGTGACAGGTCATTAGATATAATGCAATACAATTTCCCATCATACAAACATTTAAATATTACAAATATTAAACGACCTAATAAGTCATAGAACTATGCATTTAACAATATTGAGATGTTAAACCTATATAATATAAATAGATGTACTTTGTCCCTTAATTTTTAAAAATATTGTTAAAATAATAGGTAGTATTAGTCTATTACTATTATAAAATTAAAAGAAAGTCAGAATTGATTAATATTATGTTGATTTTTGATTTGCTTTGAAATAAAAAAAAACATATAAATATCCATAAATTCACTATAATATAATATACATACATACATGCGATGGCGTAGCCAGAGGGTTTTTGGGTGTTTAAACCATTAAAACCTAATCCTAGGTCATTTCATACATATATACATGACGTGAATCATATTAATACACAATATTTAAGAATATATAAAAATATGTTTCATATAAATATCATGTTTTTTTACAGAAAAAAAAAGTTTTTGGGCTTTTTTATGAGTGGGTGAACTCATATTAATATATTATATACATTAAAAAAAAAGTTAAATTACAAAAGTTTCTTCATAATAATTTTCGATCGCATAAAAAAAAATTATTATTGTTTGCTTCAATTCGTATGCATTTATGGTAAAGAACGTTTTAGAAGTTTACAGTTGTCGTGCTTTTATTCACTTTTAAATATATATATATTTTACAGTTGAATCTAGTACTCTATATTCATAAGTATGTTTCAAAAACGGGTGGTAGTATTCATTGCTTAAATGGGTTCGAAAAGAAAAAAAAAGCCATAAGTACAAATGCATAAAGTGTGTTTGCTCAACGTTCGTGTCATTTTTGGCGTCACTATAAAAATAAAACGTGGTCGAAACTAAAAATGTTCGTTTCCATTAAATCATATTATATTAATTGTACACACTATTAATATTGGTGTTCTATAATTACTAATGTCTGTCCTGTATCGATTTCAGCAGTTTTCTTTAAAGACTCGCGTTTTCACAGTTAACCGGTCACATTACCCAAGTGAATATCCACTATTGACCGTGACCTGAAACTAGGTAGGTACCTATACTATATTCGGTAAATGAATCTCCACCGTAGACGTGTCCTTATTTTCACACCATCGTCCAGTGAACGATTTCACAACTTCCTGTAATTAAAACGATCACTATTTCGTTCCGATTACCAGTGCTACTGAGTTACATCACTTGTTATTGATTTTTTTTTTTCCAGCACAAGAATAAAAACAACCAAAATGTCGTAGTCACGATACCGAGCGACCGATAACGTGACATAATATTGGGAAATGCGTGTGTAAAAACAAACCAAAACCGAAAACCAAAACTTTGTACAATTAGTGTGACACGGTTCATTTCATGCGGTGGAGGTGGAATATAACCCGCATATGTTGAGGATTTATTCGTCGATCAAAATGACAGTTTACAAACGGTGTTTGTGTCAAAAGCATCATGTGCATCCGAGTCGAAATCGAATTGTCGTCATGAGTACCGCGCTTGACGATGGATACAAAACGATTGGTAAGTATATTATAAAAAAATACTTAGATTTCGTGTGTACCTAACTATGAATTACTTTATTATGATAATGGTTAATTAATTATTTTCAAAATACCATTACAAATAGGTAGCCATGTAGGTACTTTTATAAAACTATGATAAACTAAAGGAAAATATATTATATATAATGTGTTTATGTACCTAAAACAACGTATAATCTTTCATAATGCATTAGTATTATTGCTAATCGTAAATTCAAATGTATACAGTGTTTCCAAGGCTTTATTTTAATGATAAAACACAATTTTTTTTATTGAATGGTAAAAAATGATAAGAAAATAGATTTATCGATTAACCATACGTACCTATGACTTTTACATTTCAAATAATTAAATTACGTAATTAGTTTTAATAGGAATACTTATACGGTAAATTCAAATACTATTTAAATGAGGATAACATTTATTTTTAAAAAAATTGTTTTAATAATTCCCTAAAATCGATTATTATTATGATATAATTAATCACTGTAGGTATTTAGACATTTAGTGCTAACAATTATTACCATTATAATGTACAAAGTGATCCATTTAACGTAAATTACACAAACTAGTTTTCGTAGTCAATTTTTATTTTTTTATGATTTAATATGGTTGAATATTTTTGCTCTCCAAAAGCTATGCATACCTACAATTTTAAATACTTTACAATTAATTTTTAAATTGAAAAAATTAGTGCACTTTTTTAATCAACTACCTTCTTAGTATTTGTAAAGAAATTATGATTTGTTTTTCAACAACATGGAATAACACTTATTCTGTTGTAATCTTTGTGAGATTATTATTGTAATACTCTTTAGTGTTTACTTACTTATTAGAATATCTATCATAAATATCACTTTGACATGTTTTTCAGTTGGCTTTATTCTGGTTATTGGCACTAGCGTGCGGTCGAAGATTAAATGACGAGCACACTAAACAAAACAATTCAAACAGGAATTTACCTACAGAATCAATTGACACTCAAGAAGATCTCAGCTCTCGAAGTTATGGACTTCAAGGGCCAGAAATAGATTCTCCCGATGAATTTAAATCAGAGGTATCTGATGCATGGATGCCTACAAGTTCATCGAAATCAATGGCAAAACAAATTCATGAGCCTGAAATTGATGATTACGGAGAACCGGAAAAACCAGAAAAACTAAATGACAAGGAAGAAATGGATTCATTCGAAAGGCTTAATGACGAAAAAATTGAAGATCCCGAAAATGGTAATGAAGATTTCGAGCAAGTGAAAAAAGTAAAAGAGGTGTCGATAATGACTTTGAAACCAAAAGAACATAACAAAGCGTTAGATCCAATAAGTGATCAACAAGGCCGTCCTCCTATGAGAATCATACGCCCTATGAGAGATTTGAGTATACTTGTCAGAAATCGGCACCATCCTATATTAATAGCCCGTCAAGTACCTGTTCATTGGATACCTCACAACCGTCACCGTCCACATAAACCACCATATCCACATAAGCCACTACTTCCACATAAGCCACCACATCCACACAAGCCACTGTATCCACATAAACCTCACCACCCTTCGATGCCAAAACACAAACCATGTAAGCCATGTGATCCTAAAGTTCATAAAAAACATAAGCCGAAAAAACCGAAAAAACCGAAAAAAAAACCAAAGAAAAAACCAAAGAAAGAGCACTGTCACCACCCGAAGAAACCGCATCATAAACGATTATTATATTATGCCCCTATACCTACCGCCATGAACTACTATAATTACGGGTCACAAATCCCGGTGAAATTGATTCAGCAAAGTAGTAATTATGATGTGGCAGAAAACCTAGAGAACGAAGATGTAGAAATTGATACCGAAAGACCATTTCACCAAGAAGTTGAAGACGATGTCGAAGAACATAGGTTAGCCGAAATGAGCGAACCTTTTGATGAAGAGGTTCTCGATGAAAGTAAAATAAAATCAATTGAGCAAATTTAAAGAGGAAAATGTAACTTTTTATAAAATAAAAAAATTAATCAAATCATTGCAATCAAAGTTTTAATCAGAATTATTGAATTACGTACATAATTATTTTATCTATGATATTTTGATAGACGCAAACCTTTTTAACCATTCAACAAGACTTGAACTTTAATCGTCCACTCAACACAAATATAGTATGGACAGAACAATTATTATATTCTATGACATAAAGATCATATCTTCATAAATCTCACAATGATTGGAACATTTTTCTATGATAGTTTATAACATTAGATTCAGTTTGTTTTTTGTGTATCATGCATTTGGCTTAGATATAATATGGATATGAACTGTATTAGTAGATATTATTATACAAAATATAAAATTTGTTTTTCCAGAACCCTAAACAAGTAATTTAACGTAGTTGTTTATACTATACATACATATTTTATGATGATTTTGTACAATTTATTTTGTGGATTTAGTTACAACTCTTATTGGATTACTTTACCTATTATTTAAAATGGCTCAAATCGTTTGTTTGGAAACGGTAGGGAGTGATTTATGGGGCTGATGTTAAAAACAAACGTTATATACATTATAAGTTATATTACTATATGTTATATATTTTGTTTTTGTAAAATATTAAATAATATGAAATAATCACGCTGCATTAGGTTTTGTTCTGTAAGTGATGTATTTATTTTTTGTAATTGCATATTAATAATAATAATAATAATACCGTGGCGTGGTTTTACATAATTTGCGTAATTTTTTTTTTCCATTTCCTAGCACTTTATAATATTATAATGATACTATTATAATAATGTGACATCATTCGTTAGGTTTTCGACGTTTTCATTTGTATGTTTTTTTCGGATCGACTGTGACGGGGGCGGCCGCGGGTGGCTTGTTAATTTCGGTCGTGGTCGGGTAGTACGTCCCTGGCACGTGATAGAACGGATGTGGCACCGGTGGGCTGATGGGCTGGGCACCGGAACTCGGGTAAGCGGGCGCTTGTCTGACCAACTGATTGGAGTTGTACGCGTTGTTGTAGCCGAACGGATTCTGTTGGTAGCCGTAAGCGTTTTGGTAACCGTACGGGTACTGTTGCTGGTAAGCTCCGTATTGCTGGTTATACGGGTACTGTTGGTTACTGTTGTACGGGTACTGCTGGAAGCCGCTGTACTGCTGGTAGCCGCCGTACGGGTAGTTGTTGTACTGGTTGTAGTGTTGTTGGTGGTTATAGCCGGTTGCGATGTCGCCGTTGTACGGATAGCCACCGACACGCTGGTACGGCTGTTGTTGTTGGTAGTATTGCTGGTTGTACCCCGAATACGCCGCCTGTTGATAATTATTGTTGTACGGCAGTTGTTGATAGTTGTTGTAATTATTGTATCCGGCCGTCGTAGCTAAATACTTGTTAGCATCTGTAAAACAAAAATATCGCGTTCAGGACTTCAATGTTTGTATGACGTCGAAAATCGTTAAATCGTATCGATCACTATGGTTTTTAAGGGCATCTGGCACATAATTCGTTAAGAATGTATAAGCATCCTAAATAATTCCAAACAGTGCACGTTCGATGTTTATAAAGTAATATTGTAAAACACTTTTTTTATAATACCAATTTAAATACTTTAAGTCTAAACAGGTAATAAATATAATATAATACGAGTTTCGGGAAATTTTAAATTCGATTGTCATGAACGAGTTTGGTAGAAAGGATTTTCCACAAGTACCTAGGTGAAGATTATTTTTACGTTTCAGAGTAAATAATTCAAATTTGCAATTTAATGATGTTGTCGATTTTGTAGCGTATAAAATTAATCTCAGGTAAAACGGTTTACTTTAGTATACATAAGACGCAGTTTACAATTTATTATTTAACCACACGGTCTGGTCCCTCGGATGCCGTCATAGTCGATTTCTACTAGATGGTATTATTAATGATCATTGAACTGTCATGGTCCGATCTATTTTTTGAAACGTGTACGTGTAACACATCTCACCGCGCGTTACGCTATTACGGGCTCGATCGACAAACGACATTATTATATTAAACTGCGTACCATTCTATAGCGGCGCAATCGTTAGCCTAGACGATAAAACCAATTTCCGCAATGTTATTTTATTGTATTATAAAAATTGAGTGAGAACTGAGAAGTATATTATTGGATCCAATAGAGTTTCACCACACGTGCAATTTTATGTTGTCGGAAAAGAGTAACGTTTCTATCAGAAGAAATGAAATCACGAGAAGACTTCCGAATCGAACCAAAAAAAAAAAAAAAAACCAAAGAGCGTTAATAATAATTTATGTGTATGTGCTTATTTAGTAAGACGGAGATGTAGTTTATAGGTACTAACATGGCTTAGAGAAAATTACCTACGAATCGCTTAGATTATACTAAGTGCTCTGTAAAAAATAATACGTGGCAAAGGTTTTAATTTTAGTATTGTAAACAAATATATATTAATCATTTTATAATAATTATTATAAACATTTTTAAACATATTTAGCAAAATTATTCAACAATCACACCTACCTTATATTGATTTTTTATAACTGTTTTGAATATTTATGGATGCGTTCAGTTAATTTATAACAGACATCCGGGGAATGAAATATAAATAAGATTTATTTTAAATACAATTTCATTTTACTTACATTAAGTGTATACAATATATTGAAATATATCCATATGGCAATGCCCAATATAGGTATTAAATACACATAAAACAATTAGCTTATTCCCGTTTTTTAATGTTTATTTTCATAATAATAAATATATACGATAATTATTTTCTAATATTATAACTAAAAAAATTTATCATATTTTTGGTATTATTACTGCGGTTATAATCCTTATACTTTTTTAAATATCTACAATGATATTTTGTCTTCAAAATTACAATAAATGTATTAAAATATAAACTATAATATTATTAAATAATAAATAATTTATGTGGTAGATATGATATTTATTTTGTACGTTTCTAATATTACATAATTGTATACATTATACATTTATTAAAAGCGATGTTATTATTTTAATAAATAAAATAAAAATGTATTTAATTTTAATTTTTACCCTCATTATGATTTCTTTGTTTCATCTTACCATTATTTGAAAATATACACCTGACTAAGTGCCCAAGTATAATGTACTCCTATACCATTTTTTATCAAACATACAAAACTAGATCTAAAAATCGCTCATTTCAAATTTTTGAGAAACTCAAATTATTTTTTCCAAATTTTATTTTAGTTAAAATAAGCGAACAAATATTAATCTTATTTAAAAAATATAAATAAAAAAATGTTATTGGTGGTAATATAAACATGGTTGGACACTATATGTATATACTATATTGTATATGTTATGCATAGACTGTTAGTATCATTGGTCATGACGAGTTTAGAAAAAAACCGTAGCTTTAAAATTTTAATTTATTAAAATATTATATCTAATATATTTTTACTGCGTACATTAGCCTCTCATTTCCTGTTTTTCTGAGTTCGGTTGTTGGCATATGGTAAGACACTATCATCAGGTTAATCCTTTAAGTATAGAAATATAATCCTAAATATTATAATATAATGTAATACCTAACTTCATTGTATATAATATTACATTTTAGATATTATGAACAAGTTGCACATTTGAAAAATTTGAATATATTGCTATTTTTTTTTCATCAATTTATTTATACTATTATATGAAAATGACATGTTTACCTGTGATTTGTCCATAAGGATTGTAAATGGCTTCTTTTTTACTTCTGGAGTCGTCGGCTATCACCACAGCTATCAACAACGCCAAAGCTACCTAAGATAAAAAAAAAAATTAAATAGTTAAAGTATTTTAATAGTAAAAAGACTTATGGATGAACGATTTCTAGAAATCGTTCATCAAAACCGACACTCACGTAAAATGAAGAGTTCATGATGAAGATTTTCTCGTACAGTTTCGCTGATGTCCAGACCGATTGTAAACTCTAACTACTAACTTTAGTGTGACTTTCGGTCCTTTATATATAATATATAGTGATATAGTCATATAGGCGATTTCAAACGAGGTAGGGAACCGTTCAGGTATAATAATTATTATTATGGATAATTTATATCCAAGTCTAAGTGATATTACCAGTCCTGGATATTTTCAAGGTTTTTTGGCCCTCGGGGCTATCCATAAGATCTTCTCCATACATTCAGCAAACATTGGTAACAGTCAGTTAACACTCATAAATAGCAAGTACAAAGAAAGCAATAACTAAAAATACTTACAAATAAAATGTAAAACGTGCAGTTTTGTTTAAATACCTACTGAATTAAAAATTAAATAAATTGGAATTATATAATAACCAAGGACCTATTATTATAGTGTACGTGCTTTAATTATGTGTATGCTTTTTAATTATATTCTTGAAGTTCAATTAATTGGTAGATGCATTTGTTAAGTATTAATTAAGAAAACGCTGTTAATATCACAAACATAGGTACAGTGTTATATTTTACTTAAAATCCCAATTAAATAGTTGTTTGACATTGCTTTACACATCCAAAAAAATGTGTGTACAATTTTTTTTATGCACATTCTATTTTAATAATATTATTTAAATGTAATTTACGATAGTTAATTAGGTAAACGATTTAAATACACATTTTAAGTATATTTCAATTTCAAAATTCTATTTTAATATATATTATCATGTGTAGGTTCAAATTGTAAGATAAATTATATTTTTATTTTCCGAGTAGAGAAGTGAATTTTCATTAATTCTATAAACTAAAATATTACAACTGTTTTACATGTTATTGCAATAAATATATAATTCAAAGACAAATATTCCATGGTCTCTTCTGATAGAAACTATAAAGGGCATCTGCGTTTATATAATCATTTGTTAATAAACTATACATACACACAGTGAATTATTCTACTAAAAATATAGCTAATCATAATTACCGTCTTAGGGATTGAGTAAGATAAATAGTTACTTTCTACAAACCTATTTAAAAGTCAAATACAACAAGAGCCTTCTGTTAGTAACGATCGATACTTAAAAAAAATAATCACTAATAACCAGTGACGTAATAACTGTTTTTAGATTATCTTTGGACGAGCATTTTTCAAACATTTAAGGTACAATAAATGTTTCTATTAATTTGTGCAGCTAGCCTAACAAAATTACTCATTACTCAGAGTAGGTACATTGTATAATATGAATTGTAATAATTATTCGTACTTAAAAAAATAAAAAATATAGCTAGTATAGGTAGGTCCAATGTACGTGGTATAAATGTATAATATCTGCCAAACATAAATAAACATTTCAAGATAATATTTAATACTATTAAATTAATAGTGATATCTGGTTGATTGTACATTTGTACTGCACTAAATTAAATTTTTTTTGAACTCAATTGAAAGCTGTTCAACCTTATACTTCCCTTGTACCTGCATCACTATAAAAGTAATTATTTTAACATGTTTTATGCATTTTTTACTTTATGCACAGAGTATAATTCATGAATAAATTATTACACAAAATGTTAGTCTTAGTGCTTTCCTAATAGTATAATTATTGTTGAAATAAATAATTGAATCACGGAAAATAAAATAATTTTTGTATTTTATACAGTTATATTCAAAGACTTTTTATTATAAATACAATATTATTATAACAAAGTTACATGTATATATTTAAATAATTTTAAAATATGGGTATTCTAGAAGTAGCTTAAAGTCATTTTAATCTGGTCATAACTAATATAATATAATATAATTTTTCTTCGTAAGCAGTGGTTCGTATTCAAAGAATCAGTTAGGTAGATCTTCCAAGAATTATTGTAAGATTTGTATGTTGAGTTTAAATTTTATAATTTTTTTCATTCACAAGTTTATTTATTTTTCAAGAATATAATGTGCCTCACTGAACAAGTTCATTTGGGGACCATAGAATTTTTGAAGTAAAATATTTAAAAATTATGTCAACTATGAACTTATAATAATATATATTATTTAGTTTATTATTGTATCATAGATATTTTCACAATGTTTATATGTAGGTATATAAATATATTGAATACATTTCACTATTAGACTATACATTAATGATGAAATATAATAATTATAATTTTTTATTTTTAAATGATTTTTTTTCTTAAAGTTGGTGATTTAAAATAAACATCCTAAAATAATATAATCTATAATAAAGTCAGTTGTATGACCTGGTGCAGATGCTAGTTAATAACTAATTAATTAATTAATTATACTTTTGGACGAATATTTGTTCATGCAGTTCAAGTTATTTATCTGGATGTTGGTAGTTTAATTAATGGATTGTTATCATATTATACATTTTTAAATTGCTACATGCAACTTCTTTAAACACAGCTAAAATTATTTAAAATGTATTCTTATAACAAAATTATATACTACACAACTGCGCATGTATCTCAACGTATGTATTATAAAGTTTTATGCAATTTACAAAAAGGTTTTAATACATTTATTAAATGCAATGTTTGTGTAGAAAATTAATTTTATAATAAATATAATTTTGAATAATATTTTAAAGTATTTAAATTTATTTACACAACATTGGTGTTTGATTTGAATACAATCAAACCTTTAAAAGCCATCTGTTTATTTTGCGAACTCAACAGTTTAATTACTTGAACTTTTAAAAAAATAAATATATTTACACGCTTTACATTGTGTACCTATAAAATACTGCAGAATATAAATCAGTATATAATTGATTTTGTAAAACATTATTTATTTTTCATTTACAGACTATTTGATTGCAATCACTTATCTGAGTTTGTTGCAGGTAGACCATAATAATATATAGTAACATACTATCAAAAGTGCACGTGTTCGGTCAGTGGTCATTACTGACAAAAATGTCCATATTATAATATTTGTGTAGATAAAGGCTAATACTGTTTGTCCGTCTAATACATTTGAAATTCAATTTATATCGTCGTATACTTGTGTAATAATTTTAATATAGAATTTTATTTCACTAAATTATTTAACTATATTATTGTAATTAGAACACTTTCGTATCCTGGCTAAATTATAATACCAGCTGTGTCTTATATGTCTCTAACTAAATTAACGGAGAAAATATCGATCCTTCAATCCGTTAAACATAATATGGAATACATTTATCTACAACAAACAATAAATATATAGATTTAAATATTCCAATGTAATTTCATTATTTTACTTTGTCCTGCAAGTTTAAAGTTAATATGTGTAAATATCCCAAACAATATTAAACCTTCACTGCTATATACATTAATTTGTGACAAAAGATAATTTCTAATTCAATTAAAATAGCATTTATATTTTATTAAAGATCTAATAGAGTTTATTCAACAAAAGTTAATTGAACTAACTTCCAAAACATTATATTTACACTTTCAAGACTTTATAATTGATTTTTAAAATGTTTTAAATATATTTGTGAGTAAATTGAAAGTATTTCAGTTAAATTATAATGTTAGATTTTTGGTTTTAAAATATTTAAGTCTTTAAAACTCATCATTATCTGATACTAGTACCAACCTATAATGTTCTTAATTTAAACTATTATAATACTCTAAGTACAATAAATTAACCTTTGATATGTAACTCAAATCTTAATACTTAACTCAAATGCTGGACACCTTAAAAGAAAATACCATTCAAACTATTATAATAATTTATAAAATTCACCTACATGTTTCGTTTTTCAAAATCAATAATTATTCAATTTGTTTTATTCAGTTTAAAGTTATATCAAACTACTATTCTAATATTTGAAAGGTTTCTGAAGAAAATTGATACTTATTAAAATGTGAGTCATCTCTTATTCTGGTACAGTGGTACCATAAATCAAAATCTAATTCTATTTTTTTTTGTAACCGAGTTATCAACATTTTTAACAATAATTTCAGAATTTATAACTTACCGTTTTTTTTTTGAGAACTTAAATTTTAAATGTAAGTGTCAGAGTCAGGACGACATGATTTTTCAAGTTAGTGTGTGCTAGGTATTGACGCTGCTATAACAGGCTCGTTTAAAATTGTATTTTCAGGATAAACTGACATGTTACAAATTATAAAATAAATAGTGGTCATAAATCAGATACGAACATTTTTAATTTTTCCACAAGCAACATTTTGATTTAAAGTTACCACTTTGCCTGGACGACTTCCATGCTGTTATAGCTGTTTACTAGATATACTATTAACATTTATAAATTAGACTTAGGTATAACTTATATTATAATATTATTATTATATAATCATATTTAAAGAAATAATATTTATTTTTTTTATATAATCTGTTTGTACTCTTCTTAAAGCTCCTTTATACATATAATAAAACGTGTACCTACTATTTAAATAATGTAATAACATTTATAAATATATTTTGTTCAGACTAAAAATTCTCGGAAGTCACAGCCTTTTTCTCTTAAAATAAATAAACATGAACTTAACGACGGACCAATATTTGTCAAATCTCTTTGGCGTGTCTCTATCTGCGTCTCTGCCATGTAATATTCGGTGAACTTCTATCTCCCGACAGACATGACCTTATAATATAAATATATAGTACATTAATATATATTTTACTATATCTTATAAACAACTTGATTGAAACAGCTGAATTGTATCGACTGTTGAACCTATATACAACACGCACACACACACTTATAAATAATTAAATACAATTTGTAAGTTTCATGCATTATGAATTATGACTAGATAATAGTGCTGTATACCTAAATTTTGATTATTTTAATGGTATTATTGATGTATATTATGAAATAAATAATTAAAGCATGGGTAAGTGAGTGTTTCCACAACATATACGAGAAAAAGTATTTTCAGTAATTATTGGTTAACGTAATATAGTAGAAATAAACTATAGTATGAGACTTTTATA